GAGCAGGGAGCCCGATGCGGGACTCGATCCCGGGACTCCAGGATCATGACCTGAGCCGAAGGCAGTCGCTTAACCAACTGAGCCACCCAGGCGCCCTAAACATGCTTTTTAAATATATATGTTACACACACACCCTTTATCCGGTGCTCAACCAAAGAAACGGCCGTGTGTTTTACTGCTGAAGACAGTGTTGCCAGTTTGACCCATTCTGTGCTCATCTCCAATATGGCGCCTTTGCCATGAGCTTGTGGACAAGCTGTTGGCTCTCTGTGGCTCCTCCCTGCAGCCCTCGTTCTGGGCTCCCCCTGCCCCGTGCAGTGCACCAGCCCTGCAGTATTAAATATGATACAGTCTTGCGCACCCGGTGAGACCCACAGGTGCTCAGAAAGAAGGTGGCCCTGGGAACAGATGAGACAGGGGACGCTTTGTGGAGGAAGTGAATCTGAGTCGGGCCTTGAATTTGGGTACATGACAGCAGAGAGGGATTCCTGCCAACGTGGGCAGCAGGGCCAAGTTCCAGGGGCAGAATGTGTAGAGGAGAAGATCCGCAAGCAATGGGCTGGACCTGCCATGTGATCCTCATGCGGACACAAGCCGGGGTGGTGGCTCCCATAGCCTGGGATTGAGCCCAGGGATGGCACTGATGAGCAGGGTGGCCAGAGCTCCTGGTATGAGATCACATTGAACCACATTGTGAAGAAGTCATTCTCCTTTCCATTGTTTTCAACCTTCTGATGATGCTAAAGAGAAAGTCTCAGTTTGGTGAGAAGACATGCTTAACACCTCTCTAACGCTGCTGATCTCCCTGTTAGCAGAGGGAGCTAGGCCCCCAGCTAGGTGCCTTCGGCAAACCACAGAAACTTCCTGCAATGTATACACTCTCTAGTTGCCTGTTTAGGTAGGCGAGGCCAGTGGCGATCTCCAGTTTTCGTTTAAAGTGAATAAATGTGAGTACAAAGGAAGCACTAAGATTTCTTCTTAGCTGTAAGTGCGTAGACTTCTGTATGGTACTGGGAGTGGGCGCAGGTGGGGCGAGAAGTTAAGGATGGCAGTAAGAGCAAGACTGGAACTGGGAATCAGTGGTGGGCTCTTAGAGGGAAGGAGGATCCCATGTTGTTTCCCTGGAGGTCACCTGCTGCCAAAGAACCCCTAGGAAACTGGCCCAAGTCAAGAGGGTTTAAGAGTTTCCAGTTAGAGCAGCAATCTCTGCTCTTCAGTGGGCTGGCGTGGGGCCTCCCATCATCCACCCTTCCTCAGACCAGTGCTCCAGTGTGGGAACAGGGCATGGTCCCTCCCTTCCAACAGCGGCCCGTGGTCCCTTAAGGACCTTGGCACAGAGGTCATCCACCCTGAGCCTCACGCACTGGGTGGCCTGGGTGACACCCTTTCCAATAGGTCCACGAGGTGCAAGCCCCGCCCTGACACCGCACGTCCCCCTCTCTCCGCCACAGGTCAGCCATCACCATATTTCCACAGAGGACTGACGGCAAGCACGATTTCCGAGTCTGGAACTCCCAGCTCATCCGCTACGCCGGCTACAAGCAGCCCGACGGCACCATCCTCGGGGACCCAGCCAATGTGGAATTCACAGAGGTGTGTGCCCCCCTGGCCCTCGCCTGGGCTCTCAGTCCCCCAAACTGGCTTTATCCACAGTCATTTCTTACTTTAATGTTATCGTCATAGGGAAAGCAGCCAGAAGGGGTACCATGGACTCTTCTCCAGACTTCCTGTTCCTTTTGGCTGCCCCCAGTCCAGCGGGTTCCGTTCCAGCTGGCCATTTGGTCATCTGCAGCCATTACCTCCCCCAGCTCTCATGATAGGAACTGGTGTCCCACTTCACAGATGAGTAGACTGAGTCTCACCAGAGCCCAGTGAGTTATCCAAAGCCACCAAATGAGCACAGAGAAAGCTGGAAGTGCAGTCCAAATCTCCTGCCTCCCACCAGCAGGAGAGAAGCTGACAAGTATGCCTGCTCTGAGTTGGGTAATACCGCAGACTCCTATCATTCCTTCATCCGATTACCCAGTTCTAGCTAACCAGCCTCTCTTTGGGTGGGCTTGTCTCTGCATTGTACCAAGACAACCACAGTTTCTGGCAGCCCGAGTCAGTTCATAAAAGCCACCAGGAAAGCACACACCACCATCTCCCCATCCGTGGGGATGCAGACAGGTAGCATAGGGAATGCACGGTGGCTTACAGCACCTTGCCCGTAGGAGACGCTGCGGGCAGACCCATGCCTAGAATGACCTCGGGCACACAGCCCAGCACCCCTCTTATTTATCACCCACTCATCCCCAGTCGAGGTTCATCTCTGTTCTTTCCTCAAACACCACCCCTCAGGACAGAGCTGGCACGATCAAGCGTTGCTCCAGTCCCTCATTACTGCTGACTTCATCTGCATGTGGCTTTTCTTATTAGAATGTTATTATCGAGAAGGGGCTGTAACCAGGGCGACCAGGAGTTGCACTTGTGCTGATTTTGACTCAGCCAGACTCTCGGCTCCACTTGGCTGAGCGCTAACTGCATAGTTGGCTGACCTTGTCCTCCTGGCCTCTTCCTCCCCTTCTGTCTCCAGAAACCTCGCGAACAGCACGTGTTCTCCTAAGCCCTTGATTTCGTGCTTCCTCTCCCTACGGACACCACAGAAAGAATCACCCCAAACATAACCACGTAACCATATCTTTTTTTTTTTTTAAAGATTTTATTTATTTATTTGACAGAGAGAGACATAGCGAGAGCAGGAACACAAGCAGGGGGAGTGGGAGAGGGAGAAGCAGGCTTCC